AACCAGATCAACAGTCACCTCACTTCACCTCAAGTGTCCTGTTCCCAGACTGATAAGAAATGCTTCATAACTGCTGCGGTTAGGAGGATGTGTGGATCCTTAAGAGGGGTCAGAGGTCATAAGAGGTCAACAAGCTTTTGTGTGTTAGAGTTAAAGTGCAACCACACCCCGATCGGTCATTAGCCCAAAGATTGAGTATCTTTTTGAGTATCTCAAAAAGCACTCTCTAAATAAAATGTATTATTAGTAGCATTTCTCAGATTTATAGTTTTAATCTAATTTAGAGAGTAGGGTGTTCCTGCAGAACCAGAGGGTCTAGTTTCAGATTCTTCAGAAGAAGTGTTTTTTTTAAGCCATATTTAAAATGATAAAATAATACATTTGTATTGATAATACACAACCGTGGTCCTGAAAATGCAGCCTTGTGTAGGCGACTGCAGGAACATGATACTGCTTAAATTAGTATTCTAACATGTTAGTTCTGTTCTCTCTCTCTCTCCTTTCCTTGTTATTGTTCATTATTGTATAAACATATATATATACAGTATATATATATATATATATATATATATATGTGTACAGTATATAATCTTGAATGTGTCCCCAGAGTCGTCTTTGTGTCTCCAACCTTTCAAATATCTGGTTGCAAAGGCTGTATCATATGATTCCATCTTTCTCTTATCTGATAATTACCTTATCATGCTAATTACACAATCTACCCAACATGCAACTCTTAGCAAACACAAAGTTGACAGAAAGACAGAAAGTAACACTTGGTTGGAATAAACCTTTAAAACTACATAGACGTATGGTCCTCAAACCAGCCTCCAGCACTCACATTCACTAGGTGGCGCTGGTGTGGAAAAGGGTCCTAGAAATGTGGCCCTGAAACTGTCCTGCAGGAACATACTGCTGAATTAACCTGGCTCTTATCAATAATGTTAACATTGATCCTGAAAAGCCTTCTCATATGTGATCATATGCAATCAGACTTAAGCAGGACATCGATCTCACCAGTAGCTATGTTGTTATATCCTGAAGTCCAACACTCATGTGAACCACAAACAGCATGTCCATGACTAAATGCTGGCATTTCCTGAGCTATCACAGACGCTAGTCTAGTCACAACACTGTAACACATTACTGTATGTAGTTATGATGCCACACCTCACACGGACATTTGCATCACATGAAATGTACAGTATATATATGGTAAATATGCGATCTCAAGGGAATGTTAATGGCAGCCACCAGCATGCACAGATCTGTTATCTTCACTTCTTACATAGAGAATAACAGGCTGTCATGGCAGCAGTAATTGATTTTTTTGATTTTTATACTATTTATTTATACTGAAGAAAAGCAGCTCATACTCTGAAAAATACACAAGTGACTGGCACTCAGGGGATTCATTACTGTGTTCATCCAGAATCACAGCAGAGCCAGTGCTAGTTTGTTAGCCTGTGGATACACTTTGACCTGTAGCCTAGCATAATTGTGATTGGCCTATGGATTTATTGTAAGAACTGGATATGTCACCGCCGCTCTGCCTTGCAGCCAATTTTTCCCAGTGGCCACTTGCAGCGAAAAATCCCCTGCACCCCAAAAAGCATTTTTCCCATAGACCACAATAGCTAAAACTGTTGACAGGACACCTCCAGCAGTAAACACAATCAATTATTAATCTTTTTATTGTATATTTTTAAGCCATGGACTTTTAATCTTTGTAAAAGTTTTCAAAAGCCCAGAAAAGTTTTTTTTTCTTGATGAAATACACATGGATGTTTGCTAGGTTGATACAAACGCCATACGGATGTACAGAAGTTTGTAGGAAAAGTAATTAACAACATAAAGGAGAGTTTTTGTTTTCACATATCAAAATATTTTGATTTTGTGATTTTGTGTGGCAGTTATGGGTCACTTGTCAGCCTTTGTTCTCCAACGTAATTGTTTTTCAATCGATATATTAGCCGCGTAATGACTGGATTCATGATACGATACTGTAAGCGATTTTTTTATAACTACCTCGTAACACTTTTCTTCAGTGAATTTAATTTTGTTTGTTTTAAACTGTCTCAGTGTGGTAAAATTATAACTGACTTCCAGTCCACTGGGTCAACAGTGGTGGACTGAGATGGTGCAACCTGCTCCGCTTCTCCCACCGGTCCCTGAGGGAAGGAACTGTCATGGACGTCCTCATCATCGTCTCTCTTACTCCCCAGGTCGTCATTGTGTTCAGTACACAATATGCTAAATGTTCTATGGCATTTATTATCATTTAAATTAAATCTTTCTATAAAAAAAATCCTTTTGATTTATTTTATCTTTTTCAAATCAAATATCTGGGACAGTAATGTACTTAATGAAAATACCTGGGTTCTGTGACAGCTACAGTTGTGGACACTGAAATTCTGCAGTGTTGTGGAAATATTGTGTTAATAAGAGTCACACCATGCAGCCTGAAAGAATTTGTGTATGAAAAACTAATGATGATGATGTGAGTACAAGCTGCCTATAAACTCATCCAATAAGGACAATTATTAAAAAAGATGATCATCATAGACAAATATATCAGTGTAAAAACCAAAATCAGCACATATTTATTTGATATGTTCCACTATAAATACGTGAATGGTTTCTCGGGCAGAGATAGGAGGGAGAGGACATGTCACTTTAGGAGAGGACAGTATTGTGCTGAAGGGTCGGCTTGTTATAGTGGAATGCTCTCAGGCTCAACCATGGAAATATGTAACATACATGTGGACGACAGTGAAAACAGACAGAACTCTAAGTAATGACACTGCAAATTATACATAACGATAGCACTGCGCAGCTTTAAAAAAAGAAAAAGACGTGCTGTATGAATATGCTTTTCAATATAAAAAAGGTAAGAGAGTAAAGCCCTCGTGATAATTTTAAGCATAACGCGGAAGTAAGCCGGAAGCCAGAAACTTTTTCTGTATATGCGCCAGGCGAGCAATTCCTATAGAACTGAATGGGCGCAATTTATAGATCCGGGATCCAGGTATACATCCATGGATTGGCCCCGGTGCAACAATGGCTCTGTCACCGTGGAGATGCTCACCATGCAACTCCCCTCCTCCAAACCTAGCCTCTGATGTAACAGCCTGTCCTGGACTCAAACGACCACGGCAACTATCAAACATCTGAACTAGCTTTATTCAGCCAACACTAACAAACCAACACAAAGCTAGCTTACATTGTGTAGCAGTTAACATGGGACAAATAGCCTCTAAGAAAAGCTCATTACAGGTTTACACAGTATAAATGAATGGATGGCGACACCTGATCACACAATCACTGTATTTACAGAATTCATAATCAATGGCACAGCGGCCACGCTATCACACACATACATTACAGCAGGTGCAACATATGAGAGGTAATGATTACATTACTGTAGATTTGAATCCCTGATCCCGCTCCATAAAAACAGAAACCTGTACTCACCCATTCAAAGTTCATCCACGAAAGTCACTAACAACACTGCTCAAGTCCAGGTCCGAGTTCTGCTGTTCTCTAATTAGAGTGTATAGCCAATCAAGCTAACGTTAGCCTCCAGCTGCTCGTCAACATGCTAACATTCAATACACTTGAAGCACGGTGAGTAAATACGTATCTAATGTCGTCAGTTCAGCAGTAAACGCCTCCTGTTCTACCCTTCCTCTCCTGAGCGCCGCTCCTTTTGTTTGGACTTGTTAAAGATTTAGACCGCATTGTCCACTAGCTGAAGAAAACGCTTCTTCCTAAAACGTTGAGAAAAAAATTACGTCCACTCGGGCAGGTGAGCAAGCTCATTGGTCAGATTAGGATTTCTCAGCAAACCTTACTTTGTAACTTTTAGGAACAGGAAGTAACCAAATGAAATAAGTGGTGGGTAAAAATAATATTCAATTTCAGTAAACATGCAGTTTTGTACGACGGAGTATTAGGGCCACATTTCGAGGAACAAAAAAAAATCTGATATTAAGGAAAAAAAATGTATATTATTATTTCATAATATTTTTCAGCTGTAACTGCATGCAATACCGTTGCTTGCTGCACGTCTGTCTTCTCAGTCTGAACAGAAGGACAAACTTGTCTAGTCTACCGCATAAAAAAAACCCTGCTTATTCGCACCAATTCAGGTGTAAAAACGTAATTAGTTTTCCTGGAAAGAGCCAGGCTAGCTGTTTATGCTAAATTAAGCTAGTTAGCTGCTGGCTGTAGCTTCATATTTATCATAAAGACATGAGAGTTCCTGTAGCATAAGCCTTATCAAAATCAAAACTGATGTGGCTATAGTTACTTGTAGATGATAAGTGATCTTCCATCTTATTTAATGGCTGTGATGATTTTCAGCGTTTTCTTTTTTCAAACCTTAACACTGGGTCCACTGAGCTGAACATTGCGTTCTGCCAGATTTGTGTTTATTAATTTATTAATTTGACCAGGTCAGCAGAAAACCCTCCCTGCCCTCACTTTACTCATATATGTGAATGCATTGAAAAGGCCTGACTGGTTTAAAACCTCGTAGATACCAAAGAAAATGATAAACATGAAGCTCATTTCTGAAAGCTTGAGAGGATGAGAGAGAGGAGAGGAGTAGTAAAATAGAAAAACAAATCATCCATGTTTGTCCTCCTGCCAGAAGAACAACATGATGGCCCTTATATTACAAAGAGGAACTACTTGTAACACCCTCATATATCCCTCCTCCTCTCTTTAAGATCTCTGGATATCTTCAACAACATGGCATCAATCCACAGACACACAATCCTCACTGTGTTTACAGGAGATAGATTCACACACTGCAAACATCTGTGCTTCCTTGTTGTCTGCAGAAAGCAACGGAGAGGCACCCTGATGGCCTCCCATCCCCCTCATCCCTGCCTCCCTCCCTCCTCCCCTCTCCTCCTCTCGTCAGTCTCTGTGTGAAGCTGCAGCATCTGTCAAAGGCAGAAAAACAAAGAGAGAAAGGAGGATTCCTCCAGCTTTACCTTTCAACGTAGGGAGATATACTGTGATTCAGCTCAGATGATGCTGCTCCTCAGCCTCGGCTAACAACATCACATGACCACCAACCACCTGCTCCTCGTGCCTGGTCATATGACCAGATTAGTGCCAGGCAAGGATCCCTGGGATTTGTAGTCTACCGGACAGCCGAAGAGGAAACTCATTCACTCAGAATAAAGTACAGATAGATAGATAGATAGATAGATAGATAGATAGATAGATAGATAGATAGATAGATAGATAGATAGCCTATGTAAAAATCATGAAATTATGAAACCTATTACAAATTGGAACATTTCCATATATTATCCATCACATACAAATATGTATGTTTATGTATGTATGCTTATATTGTTATATATATATATATATATATATATATATATATATCCATCACAAAGCCTGTCAGTATATTATTATATACAGTAGGTCCAACAGTCTGAGACCTTTCCTGAATGAGAAGATACATGTTTAAAATGAAAAAGAATAGAATAAGAAAAACATATATACCTCACAAAAAAGGTTTATATGTTATGTTGCTTGTATGTGCTTGTAATGTAACGTAAATGTATATATTATTAAATATTTATCATTAACATATATGCTTGTAACATGTTGTACCATACAAAAATTCATCACAGTTATTTTTGATATATGCACATACACACAATGTCCTATGGGTATTTCATATATTGTCAGAATTTAAGATGTCTGGATTCAAATGCAAATTAAAAAACTAGCAGGTAGTCTTCAAGGAGTTATACCATTAGTTACCATTACCATTAGTTACCTATATACCATTAGTTATACCATTAGTTATTATGCAGTTATTATATCACAAAAAACAAAAGATTTATTTCAAATGTAAAAAAAAACAACACGATAACCCGTAAAAATCCAAATTCAAGGACGAAACAGGAAACTAAATACACACAAGGACAGCAGATAACAAGACACAGGTGTAACACATGCGGGCGGGGCAGACAATCACTAAGGAGGGAAAACAAGACAAAGGCAAGAAGTGAAACAACAGTGAACATGCAAGGAAAGTTGCTTCAAAATCAAACAGGAAATAAACAAAAGTATATATATTTATAACAAATATGTTATAAACTTATATCTTCATATATCCAGAGCATGTATATATGTGATAATAATATATCTTCTTATAGACAACATCACTTTTGGTATAGGGACATACAGTATATATCATACATGATCACACAGCCTCCTCTCAGAGCAGACCGTGTGGTGGAGGAGGTCTGCCATCATGACTCCCACTTCTCAGACCGGAGTCCACGTTTTTCATGGACACATATCGCAGGTAACAGCCCTGGTGAGTGTGATCCGACACTTCAGGCCAGTTTGGCTTCAGGTCTCACCGCTGGGCACAGACTGCTGCTGGAGCTGGAGGCCCACAGTGAGCCCAGCTGGACGGCAGCTCGGAGCCAAAGTCTGACACTCCGCACACCAAACCTCTCAGCTTCCTGTGGACCTCCACCGCCCGGCTGGCAGCAGACGTGTGGAGCCTCTGACATGGTTTCTGCTACACGAGTCTATACCACAGCTAAATATAGCTGAACTGCTGCATGAATCGTATCATATTCCCCACAAAATCCCACATTTCAAACTGAAATCTTTCTGCTGAGCGGCATGAATAAATTATACCCGTTGACCAGCAGCTCGTGGCGTACAGGCCGGTAGGATCCGAGGCAGCCGGGGTTTCCGGAGCCCTGCTGCTGCCAACATAGAGAACAGCGATGTTGTCGGGCGTCGGCCATATTGATATCTGCTCACTGTCTGAAAGCACCTTAACAATTATGACCCACAAGCCGCTGTTCGACATTTAAATCTACAAAACAACTTTGTACCCACACTTGAGGCACACACTGAACTGTGGGAGCAGGAAACAGATGAAGTGTTGGAGCTGCCTGGGAGTGAGTTAACAAACAAATATTTCTCCTCATTATGGTTTTAAATAATTGCAACCAAAAACCAAGACTTCTCCAGGAGAGTTACAAGCTTTTCAGACGAAAGATTCTAAACAGGTCAGTCAGCTCAGCTTCTGTCTATGCAGATGTGATGACTCTGCACAGTGTGGACCAAGTAGTACACATGTTTACATACAAGGGCGCAGGTTTACATATGACGGACCACAATGTAGTGTTCCATGTGGCTCCCTTTCCTCTATTTATTATTGTATTTTATTTGGATCCACCAGCCACTACCAGGGTAGCAGCTACTCTTCCTTGGCTCCACTCAAGTAAACATGACATCATAATGTAAAATTATAATGTGAATTAAAATCCAAGACAAAGGGAAAAAGAATAAAACAAGAAAAAACAACAACAGTAAAACTAATAAGAATAATAACAGTAAAATATTTGATACAGCTCAGAAACAATAGTTGTACTAATAAATACAACATGTACAGTGACTGAAGAATAAAATAATAAGTATGTTCCTCATTAATGATCACATATTCAGATATTATGTGTTAAAACATGTCCTGTATGTAGAGGGCAGGTGTCTGTGACATCAACTTTTTCTTTCAACTTTTTCTTTAAAATATGAGACAGGAGGTAAAAACAACCTCCTGTTGCATGTCTAGTATTAAAGTTGTGACCACCACTACAATATAAAAACTGATGGTTCAGGACATTTGGGATTTGAGATGATGAAATATTTCTTATGAAATAAAAGCAGAGAAATAAGCATCCAGTCCCTCAGTGACCGGCCTCAGGTTGTGTTTGTTCTGGTAATGTTAGGTCTCGGTTCCAGTTCAGATCCAGATCCAGTCTCTGTTGTGGTTTTTCCAAATCTTTATTTGATGCACCTGAACACACCACTGGGCGGTGATCCAAGTGATTAAGAACTGATGTTTGAACAATGTGAGGAATGTTGTCACAGTAAAAATTTTGCACATCTGCTAATAACTGACGGACCTCTCCCAGTAACAGCAAATATTAATACAACATTGTCTGAGCTGCAGCACACACAGTAGTGCTGTCCATACCAATATGTTTTGTTACTTTGTCGACATCATGTCTCCAAAACAGAGACATCAGGAGCTCCTTCACCTCCAGAGCTTCAGTAACAGGCAGTAAACTAACCATCCAGCAGCCACAGTGATTTATGATGAAAACCTGCTTTAGCTAGCTAACGTCACCAGCCTTTCATTATTAGATCATTTAAACTGGATTAGCAGCATGTTACTATTGAGTAAAATGCAAAAATGTTGTTGTTTTTTTTCTCTTTTCTGTTAACAAGTCATATCCTGAAGTGAACTGTCTTTTAATCTTTGATCTGTTACTGTCCGGTTTTTATTCCTCTGCACCGGTGACAGTCAGAGCAGCCATTTTGTTTTCAGGTTGTCCCTCCGTCCGTCTCATTCACGTGGACACGACATCTCAGTAACACCTTGACGGAAATTTGGCACAAACATTCACTTGGACTCAAGGATGAACTGATTAGATTTTGGTGGTCAAAGGTCAAAGGTGAAGGTCAGTGTGACCTCACAAAACACTTTTTAGCCATAACTCAAGACTTCACAGCAATTATGACAACACTTCACACAAATGGTTCATATTTTCTATGACTCTGGATAAACAGGGATGTGACCTGGAACTAGTCTGAGTGGAGGAGGGAGACGACCACGAGGAGGTGATTGTAGTTATTAAATGTAAATACAGAAGCATTTCCTTCATCTTTGAGAAATCTGGATGTGATTACAAAGGAGAGGATAATCCACAGCATGGCTGTGTGAAATCTGATCACTCCATCGCTCCGTGTTGAACTTGTGTTTACGCCTGTTTGGCTGTGAGCGTAGATGATGTGGTTTAACTGTGGTATTAAAGTCTCTCAGCTCTGCTCTCTGCTGCAGCTCTTTGAACCACAGACTGGGATCTCTCCAGGGGATCGTGTCCACAGAGACATCTGCTTCCCTGACACCAAAGTGCCCTTCACACCCTCCCACTGTCTGATCAGTGTGGTGCTCATGGTGAGAAAAACTGCAGCGAGCGCGGCCAGCTGTCCTGTCCACAGCGAGACTAATATATCTGGTTATCGAGCTGTTAATGACATCTTTGGGTCTCGGCCAGTCAGCGCTGTCCGTGTCTGTGATGATGGAGGATCCTCTGGTCTTTACTCCATCTTCACACTCTCACTCGGCTTTAAATGCATCTCAGATCAGGGGTTATTTTTCAGGCCCACAGACTTTGTCATTTTGATTTCCAACTTTTTGGTTCTTTAACTCTTTCCACAGCTGCTCACTGGAGATAATTATTATTATGTATGTATTTGTTTTTTTTTTCTTTATTAGTAACTTTGTAAAACAAAAACAACAGTGAGTAACACTAAGTAAATGACAATGTGTTTGTGTGCGTGTGTATTTTTTGAGGTTGATATGTGATGTAGTTGTAGACTGTATCTGTGAGAGGGTGAAAAGAAAAGTATAGTGGACAGTAATGATGTAATATCAATATTATCATAGGGAGAATGTAAAAATATTAAAAATATATAAATAAATCTTCCAACGAAGAATATGCTAATATGATATTATAAAATGCAATAGAATATAATGTAAAATAGGGCAGAATAATATAATAATAGTGTGGTGGTGTAATGACAGAATAGTATGTATTATTATGTATTATTATCACATAATATTATAATTCTAAACATGTTTTATTATAATAATATAATATACATGATTATATTAAGTAACAATTATAATTTAACAAATGTGAAGTTGGGCCCAGGGGATGGTGAAGTTCAATGGAGATATAATATTCATAATGAAAATTTAATTACAATATTTCATTTCAAACAGAGAAGGCACAATACAGGAAGACTTCTTGGGGATAGGACGGTAAAAAAAATTCACTTGTTTTCACAAATGAGAAAAAAGAAACTTAGAAAAATGATCCTGGTTAAAGTTTTGACTTGTTTGTACAGATGAAGAAAAAAAGAGATTACCCTGGAAAACCCGTCATAAACACAGGAGCGAAAACACTGCCTCTCAGTGCTTCTGTATTTCCAATACAGAACATACAG